TCTCCAGAGCCCTGGCAGGGACCTTTCTCTGGCCACAAGCTCCTACCCTCCTCCCTTTCCACCCTCCACTCCCTGCCACCTGGGAAACCTGCCTTTCCACCTACTCAGTATATACAGGCCTCTCCAGGGCAACCAACCCAGGTTCACTTCCTCCCCTTTCCCACCTCACCCCACCAGCACCCACCCCACCAATCCCCAACCTCAAATCAATCTAACCATTTGCTCTGCTGTCAAAAGTGCCTGAAGAATCCCATCCTATCTGACGGTTTGGTTTGGAGTCACTCCCCAGTTGTGATTTCCAACTCCAAGCTGGGCGACTTCCTGCCAATGTTCTCATCTGAACCAGCTCTCACTGTGACACCCCGTGGGTGTTTTTTGGTCTTGGCCTTTTGTGATCTCCCAGCAGAAGCTACGCTGCCCTTCCTGGCCTCCACCCTCCCTTTCTGGCCTCTCCCTGCCTCTTGAGGAGCTCTTCNCCCCGGGCTTGTGCGCCTCCTGCTCCGAGTCGTCGTCGGTGCTGCTGCCCAGCCCCCGCGCCTCCCGCCGCTTCTTCCGCTTGCGGTTGACGGCCGAGATGAAGGAGATCGCCAGCATCTCCCGGGCGTACGGCTCCTTCTTGGGGGTCCACGAGCCCGAGCCCTGTGCGGGGATGAGGTCGGGATGCAGGAGGCGCCCAGACTTGCGCCAGCGCCGCCCTCTCCCCGGCCCTTCACATTCCCACCCGAACACCAATCACAACAGGTCCGACCCGAGCCCAGCACCCACGTCAGCATCATAACATCCTCCTCCACCCTGTGCCAGCCGGAGTGTCACCATGTGCCTAGAGACTACCCCAGCCCCCCTCCCAGCACCCACCCTGAAGCCTGCTCAGCACCCCTCTGCCCTAATCCAGGCTCAGCTCTTTCCTGTGAGCTGGGGCTGGTCTCCTCCCCAACCCCTCCCCTTGCATTCCATCATCAATATCCAGCACTAGATAAATCCTCTTAGACACAGCTCTGGTATCAATAGTCTCTCAACGGTGAATAGCACTTGACAGTTTGAACGCATTCCACATATACCACCTGGGGTTGTGATCTCCAGAGCCCTGGCAGGGACCTTTCTCTGGCCACAAGCTCCTACCCTCCTCCCTTTCCA